GCAGATGCACCCCGCCATAAACGTTAATGAGACCCCCACTCCCCCCACCCCCGCGCAGGGGACCGGGCTGGCCGGGAGCCCCAGCTCCCCCCGAAACGCAGAGGGAAGGGGCGGGGGGGGCTAGCGGGGGGGTGTCGCAAAAAACCGTTCGGACTTAAAAAAAAAAATAAAAAATAGAAGTTGTGGCCTTTCTCGCTGCTAGGGATTAGTAATTATAATAATAATAACTATTATAATTATTATTATTATTCAGGTGTTGCACTCGGAGCTCCATCGCGTTGTTACCCAGGCGCTGGCTCAGAGGGGTTTCAGCGCAGCATCCGTAGCCCCATTTAAACCCAACCCATTAGGCGCTGAAGCCGCAATAAAAAGAGAATTAAACCGAACATCGTATGAACATGGGTGCATCCAGCCGCAGCAACTTTAATAATAATAATAATCATATTCAGGTGCATAGAACAGGCACGGGCAAAAGCCTTTCCTATCTTTCCATTGAGTAAAATAATTAAAAGTTACAGATTAGGAGGAAGATATCCTTTTCTTTGCACGCCCAGAGAAATAAAAAAAGCTTTTGAGATTTTTGTTGTGATTTCTTTTTTTTTTTCTTTTCCCCTCTTGTTGGGAGATATCTTTTTTCATTTTTTTCCCCACTAACTAAACTAAATGGGGCGACATGCTGCCTTGAGGGAAACAGAATAGAAATCCTCCTCCTGTAAAAAAATCATGGGGCAAATCTGATGGTGTGGGCGAATAGGATCTCGGCTTCACTTCGCTGTTTCGGGCAAGAGAGAGAAATTCGTAGTGTGGTTCGTCTGTGTTACAGCCTCGGAGGTCCTGTTCGGGCCGTCGAGTGGCACAGCTGAGATTTCTAATCGTAATGTAAAAAGGAAATAGCTGCCATTTAGGAGACGTAACCGTTTCCATTATCGCATTTTATCTATCCCTAAAATGCAAATTTATCCCTAATTTCAATAGCTGCTTCTTCAGAAAATCTGAGGAAGGGTTGCCTCATAAATATACCCCAGAGATAAATTATCCTTTCAAATAAGGTTATCAGCGTTAAAATTGTAGAAGTGCTTTCCAGACGTGGAAATATAGGTATGTGACAGAGAGATAATTGATCAAAGCAAAAACAAAGCAAAACAAAAGAAACCCACAACACCAAAAAAAAAAAAAAAAAAAAAAACCCGAAACCGCCGCAGGAGCACCAACTCTCCCCACATTGGAAAAGATGGCAATTTGTCTGAGAAGAATTCAGCACTACGAAAAAAAATCCCCCTGCAGTGGCTGTCGCTCTGAATCGATAGGAGAGCAGAAAATGCCTCATGCCTGTCACCGACCGACAGTGCTGTGGAGTTAGTTTATCTTTACGTTAAATCTGGGACATATTAACTGTTCCGTGGTCTAAAGCCTGTCTGCTCTGCCTGTTCCAGCCCTGATTGAATCTGAAGGAAATCAGATGTGCGAGAGTGGTCGGAACGTGCTAAGCTAGAGGATCTTGCAAGAGTTTAAACGCCATCGCGGTGGGGATGAGATCGATAGGGAGAGGAAGGAAGGAAATGGATGCTTTCT